CTGGTCCTCCTACTGATGTAAAATTAAAAGGGTTTTCTCCCCCTTTCTGTTGCCCCCCTATTTATGTACAATTTTAGGTGTCTTCTGGCCCCCTACATATGTAGAATTCAAAATGCCCTCTAGTCCCTCTACTGATGTACAATTTAGGTGCCCCTTTTGGTCCTCCTACTGATGTACAAATAAGGTGTCCTCTGGTCCCCCCAACTGATGTACATTAAGGTGTCCTCTTGTTCCCCTACTAATGTACAGTTTTAGGTGACCTCTGGTCCCCCTACTTATGTACTATATAAGGTGACCTTTGCACTCCCTACTGATGTCCCCCTACTGATGTACAAAATAAGATGACCTCTGGTCCCCCTACAGATTTACAATATTACTTGTTCTCTGATCACGTTACTGTTGTCCCCTACTGATGTGTAACATGATATTAAATTGAATAACATCTTACGGGAGACCACAGGTCACCTAACGTAATCTATAAATGTTAAACACTTTTATATCATATATCGCATAAAATTGCAGTTAATGTTGCTCAGCACCCACCCTCCACCCCCTCTATCTTTTATAAAACCCTTCAGATGGTTATTCCTTTTAAAAATTGTTTGTTTTACACTTTAAAGGCTTCACAGTATTACGATTTATTCTACTTTCACTTTACGTATGCAACGCACTACATTTTGTAGCGGAGTAAACAGGCCCGATAGTCGTGAACTGAGCAGGGGGACCTCAGGGCCTATTTCAGCGTACGTTTTATCCTTCTGCTAATTTCTGCTTTGACATTTTCAAAATTTTCACGTTTGACGCTGAATACTCGGATAACTGGGGAATGTCTGGGCAATTAAATGGCACGATTAACGACAAAAATCTCTACCGAAACAAGATATCATGACACATTTTGGTGACATGTAGTAGGTATATGATATTTTAGGCCCGATAATCAAGACGGGTCCGAATTAACAATCCGAAGTGACTTACCTTCTCTATTTTATAATACCAGGGTATGACTTTTTTAGTAAATTGTTAAATCTATGTTATTTTTTGGATTTTTCATATGGAATACATTGTAAATAAGTACTAGAAACATAATTCATGACAAAAAAGAAAAAAAAAAATATTTTGACCAGGGGTGTATATTGGGGGGTGGGGGTGGGGGGGTCCTGTCCACAAGTACCTGTGATATATTATAATAGTAAATATTCGTGTACAAATCCAGCTGTGGAACGTGGACACCAGTCCTTCGGATGAGACCGTATAAACAGAGGTCCCGTGTCGCAGTAGATGCTGTTGCAACGAGAATCTACACTACCTGAAGATGATTCCATATTAATATCACTAATCATAGCTTTGAATTACTTGAAAAGATGAATTTAAAAGGTTTCCCTATAACAGCACACAATCAATAAATCATTCTTGAGTGGAATATTTTTTCCATTTTATACGGAAGAGAAAACAAAGCTTTGGTCTGGAGTAAATTCAGTAACATCCATATTCCTAATCAAAGATTACGAGTATGTTATTTAAACGTATTATAGCAAAGAAAGAAATATTCTTAATCGTTATCTAGTGAAATGAATTTGATTTTTACGCAGTTTTTAAGCGTGAATTCGCTATTACAGCTTGTCATTTTAGTTCTGGGATGTACATATTTAGACGCCTGCTTGATTGGGTAAGCATGTCATATTGTTCCTAACATTGTAGTTATTTACTGTTTTGCATTTTTGTATAGAATAAAATCAAAATCACATTAATGCATTTCTGACTTTAAAATCCTTTTTGTTCTCCTTCAGGCCTGTCGGAAATAACTCTGATTCCGAATGCTGTTATGGCTTCTACAGAGTAAAAAATATTTGCAAAGGTACAAAACATTATCTACAGAGAATAATATTTTTTCTTTCAAAATATGAAATAAAAATTTAATTTTGAATGCTCAATTTTAAAATGTAAAAAGTCTTCTTTTTTTCAATTTTTCTGGGTGTATATCTGCTTTTGAAAATTTAAAGGATACTTTTTGCTTAGAATGAAACCAACTTATTGTAATAAACACATATAAAATGCGAATAAAGAGCACAAGTCTTCATTTATATAGAAGCAAAGTTAGTTATAAATTATTTACGAAGTGACAGATTTATATATGAATTATCAAAAAAGTTGAAGAGTTATCAAATGATAGGATAGCAACAACGTTCTAGGTTTTCTTATGAAACATGTAATTATGAAAATTAAATATAATATGAATTTAAATTAATTGGCGGATTTTCTTTCTCAATTGTGAAAATGTTTTTTTTTTTAGATTTTATCTCATATTTTGTGCCCAACTAAAAACATGTTGTTTTTTTCCATAAAGAATGCCAAGCAGGTTATTTTGGAGACAAGTGTAGTGTGAAGTGTATATATCCGGAGAATGGGAAATCATGTGGATTAAAGTGTAATTGTTCGATTTCACATTGTCACAATGAAAAGGGTTGTTCTATATACAACAATTAAAAAGTAAGTAAAAATGTATTTCTGTTGTATTCTTCTGTTTTCCCGACGCCTTGTTATCGATTTAATTGCCCAATTTTAAATTAAATCGGTCTTTTTTTGGTTGAAATACTCTTTTTTTTTTTTTAAAATTTTTTTTTTTATTTATTTATTTTTTTGTAAAATTTCAGGGATAATGTCTGATGAAAAAAATCACATACCAAAACGATTTGGACACATATATACATGTAAATAACACCAAAAAGGTAAAAATAAATTTCCTTTGAGAATTTTCATAATTTTTTTGGTATAATATATAATTATTTATTTTGTGATTTTGTATGAGTTGTATTTTTTTTTTACAAAATGTTAAAAGAGGATGAAAATGTAAATATAAGTAACAATGAGGAAAACATTTACGCAGACTTGAGAGAAGAAGTCGAAAATGTGAAAAGTTTACGGACAGACAGGCAGACGGACAGACAGACGGACGCCGGACAAAATGTGATCAGAAAAGCTCACTTGAGCCTTCGGCTCAGGTGAGCTAAAAAGAAAAAAAAATGACCGGGGTGTATATGTGGCCTTCAGCGTTTATGCAAATTATCACGCAAGCCAATCGATTGATCACATCATGAAATCGAAAAATAAGACAGTTATTCCTTAAATAATCATTGCATGTAGTTGAATGTAACATTGAAAATTTTCACCTGTGCCCCGGTTGACAATGGTTTCCTTGGGGTGAAAATTTTCAATGTTACACTCAACTACATGCAATATTTATAAAATATACAAGCTGGATAATTTCGATAATAAAATTAAACTTCCTTGAAATATGTTTGAATTGAAATATTTTCAAGTTACAAACTTTTACAAGTATTGAAAAAATCAAAATATGAAGTGAAGATATTAAAATTTTAAATTTTGACTGAATCTATTCTCATTTTTGCTGTTGTTGGGGCCTGATATAAAAAAACATCTTTTTATATAAAACCATTTTTGGGTACTTTGAATTACGAAAACAATAATTTTAACTCTGCTGATCTGGGAAATTGCAATGGGCAGCTGTCAGCAAAGATTTAAGATATGATGGTTTGATGTTACATGCCTATTAAAAATGTTTAATTTATATGCAGTAGTAAAAAACATATTTTCATATGACGTATCATTTTGCAATTTGTACCCCTTTTAATCATTGATGTAAGATTATATAGTAAATTGAATATATATTTTTAAAACTAAGTGGTTAAATCTGCAGAATGTGTTGTTTCATCTTTATGTTGCAAATCTTGTCAGATATGAATTGATTTTTCATATATGTTTTATGTAAAACTTTGATCCGCCATTTTGGCCCAACCCTGTCCAACGGGGATGATTTGAACAAACTTGAATGTGTTTTAAGATTTAAGTGCAAATTAATTTCTGAGTTACTGTTCTCTTCAAGTTCTATGATTTTCATAGTTGAGACTTGTATCAAAATACTTCTATATACGTTACATGATACTTATAGGAGACATTTTGGCCCAAACCCTAAAAACATCGAAAATAATAAAAATTATGAGTTTCACGGGTGAAAACGTGTCATGAATTACAAATTTTTTTTTAAAGTGGATTCAAAGGAAACCTTTTAGATGAATATTTGTCACCATATATTCAATATAATTCAGCGATGTGATGCAACATACCTAGTTTAGCTGATAAACCCGACTTAAATACTTAATAATTATCATCTTTTGATGTGACATTTTTTAAAAAATTGTACCTCATTTTATCAGTTTTGTAAGATAGTGTAGTAAATGAAATATATATTTCAGAAAACTTCGTGGTTTACACATATCGTTGAAAATGGAAGGGGTTATGATTAATATTTTATTTTTCGCAATCTATAGTCCTAGTTTGAAGTTGTCAAAACTGGATGTCAAACTGAGACAAAATTGGTTCACAATTCTTCATATAAATTGAAAAGGAAAAATTCTGTTTTGAAACTAAGTATTGTGTTTCGAACTCAGTAATTTAAGAAATTTAAAAGTTATATAAAGAGGATTTGATTGATCAGTATTTGAAATCTTTCTCGTCAAAGATAGTGCATTGAGGTACATGTAAATGGACGGATATCGTCAAAAGCAAGAATGTTTTCATGGAACGTCATCAAACAAAATGCGACATCCCCTACATAAAGAGGCCATGGTACATATTTTATATTAAACAATAAACATGAATATTATATTTACGTATCAAGATTTGTTTTAGTTATAATGAATTTGTTTTGGTATATTTTCCGTATAAATTGTTCAAACACAGTGCGTCTATGTACAGGAGAAGGGTCAGCCAGATTTCACCCATATTTCGGCGATCACTGAACAAAATTGAAAAAATGAAGTGGAACCTTCAGAGTGCAATTGAATATTTTGTCAATGGAAAAAGATTTCTTTGATATATTGCAGTAAATAGATTTTTGTATAATAGTCCTTTATGCAATAGGAGTAACATTGTAGTCGTTGGTACAATGTTACAATATCTTTGAGGTATGCATGCAAACATTTACCATTAACCATACAGGTTTCCACTAGTAGGCCAACAAAATAATAGAGTCTATGCATCAAAATGAGCTTTGCATGCCTAAAATAGGGCGAATATATTTGATTACACGTAGTGAGATACATATCAGCCTATCGTATAATTTAGGCAAGTATAATGAACATGTATAAGAACTTAATGGCACTTTTTTAAGCCCTGACAGTAAATATAGCAGCATTGTAATTTTTTGATTTTTTTGAATTAAGGATTCCAAGGGGAACGTACATTAATTTAAGGTCATACGCATTGTAGTTTGAACTTTATTGGGTTCTTCCCTGGAGTTGAAGAGTTCCACTAAAGGAAGGACCCGTGTGCAATACTTTTTACTGTTTGTATATGGATATGTACACCTCTTCTAAATTAATTTTTGATTAAAAAAAAAAGATCTGGAATGTATGTTTTGTAATTTTTGTACATTTTTCTCTGAATTATGCAAATATTTTCACAATTTGATATCTTTTCAACACCCCTGGTAACGCAACTGATATTTTGTCTAATAAATTGTAATGGTATTGTAAGTTTAAATTTAGAATATCTTGAAAAATTATCAGTAGGTGGGGTACGTTGCGTATGCCCTTAAAATATTTTCACTGCTGCGAATATCACCCATAAAAATTAAAATAGAATGCTCAATCATTGGTATGTGTTTGGGAATATAAATTCTTTCAGACGATATAAAGATCAGGTTTGATATAAAATACATGGTTACTGGTTATAAGCAATATTTGGGTAAGGGTAAGAAAACGTGATAGATGGAGGGGCTTGACGAGCCCTCTTAGGTTTTGACCCAACCCCAAATATAGCTTATATTTCAAGACAGTTATCATGTATTTTGTTTATCCTGCAACGTATTTTTAACATTTGGACGTCCAAAAATAGCCAATTCAGATCGACAGATTTAGGCACATTTCTGCATTTGAAACTACGGCGCCATTGCATAAACATTGTAATATACATGACGCCACAATACTTGTAGAACCTCGGAATACATGCAGGAGGCTTTATTAGGACAGTACGCAGTACAGTTAAGGTGCGCAATGGAAATATCGCCTAAATTTTGTATATAAAAATGTATTTGTAATCGGGATGGCGATTATTCTTAGTACATTATTTATATCGGATAATTGTAATTATGATTAATAACTACATATCGAGGACGATTATATTTTATATTAAGACTAGTCACGTGATGAGGCAGTCACGCGATTTTAGCTCATTGACTTGCAGTAATGATGTTACATATAAATATCACTAGTGCAAGGGCATAGACCAAGTTAGATTTTAAAGTTTAGTATATAGATATTTTCAACACGTATTGTAGTTTCTAAAAAGTGCTGCGATCCTGAAATTCTGCAGTTTCATTGTCAAAATTATATTTGTACAGTACCGACCAGACCCAACCTGACACAAAGCAGTCCCAGAGCTGTCCCGGGACTGGTTTCTGGGACTGCTAAAGCAGTCCCGCATGCTAACGTCACAGAGCAGTCCCACAGCAGTCCCAGAGCGGTCCCAGCAGTCCCAGCGGTCCCAGAAAGCAGTCCCAGCAGTCCCAGTGGGCGGGGTTTATTAATTTCATAGGCGGGGCTAACTCAGAAATGAGATTTCCAATAAACAATGGAACTATAAAAGGCAGCTGAATTTTTTTCTGAGCAGTATGCCAGGAATCCTTACAATGCGAAGGTCATTTACATGTATGAGCAGTACCCGCATAGATTTGAAACAATTTCAAAATAATATTTTGTTAAAGGAATAAAGCTTACACCTACATAAATGAATTACACTGAACATGTATATTTAATCACAATTATCTTGGGTTTTTTGTGATTGATACTGGCTCCCATATTTATTTTCTATACAGAAAATTAAAATTGAATTAATTATATTTCACCAGAATTAGTTTTAAATAGATCTATTCATTATACATCATGGCCGATTTCCACACTATCGGGATACTCTAAAGGCATTTTTTAAAAAGTATAAAGGCTTTTGAAAAATCCGTTGCTAATTTTGCCAAGTAATATTTTTCAGTATTGATTATTCTTTACTGATATGTTAATTTAAAAATTATTGTTTTATTTGTAAATTGTAGTAGTGACCAGTATAGAATCCTAAGATTATGTTCAACATTAATTAATCTTGAAAGAAATTTATACACATTTTATTTATCTTTTTTATGCATTACATTTTTTACATAGATTGAAATTAGGGTCATTGTTTATTGAGCAGAATGTTCAGTGATGTGTAACACTGATACGTGTACCCAAATAACATGCATGATTGATTTTCTGCCCAAAGGCGATTGAAACCACAGGTGTTTATACCATTTTATTCATACACATTATCGGCCAGGTAAACAAAAGCAAAACAAAAAAGAAATAAATCACAATTCCAGGTATTACAGGTTTTCAACTGTTTATTAA